CACAGAGCCCGCCCCAGCCGGGATGCTGAGGAAATCCCTGCTCCAACTCTGCCGCGCCATGGATTTCTGGATGGCAGTTACCAGCTTCACCGCAGCAGCAGAGCAACCTGGGCCCAGGTTACTTCACTTCCCCGTACCATGGAGGGGGGGTGGGGGAGTCCTGGCTGGGAGAGGGTGGCAGGGCAGAGCAGACTGCTGGGTCACTGAAGATCCCACCACCACAGTGAGTGCAGGAATGGGGGCCGACCCCTGCTGTTGTCCCACATCAGACCACCCAGAGAGACCTGGTTCATGTCAGGGGACAATGGAGCGGAGCAGGAGTGGGAAGGGGGGGAGCAGAGGCAGGGTGCAGCTGGGGGGCGGGGGTTGCCCTAGATCCCATGCCCCCTTGGGGACAGCCCTGGCTGTAGAGTCAGCACCGATATAATTAGGTTGACGTGAGCTGCCCATGTCACCATAACACCACAGTGTGAGCCAAGCCCCAGGACCCGCCCTGCAGAGCCTGGTCCCTACCTTGTACTCCTGGGCAGCCTCCTCGATGGGCACTGCTGTGTGTGCGCGGTGCTCCCGGGACTCTCTGCAGATCACGCAGATGGGGGCTTGATCCTCCTGGCAGAAGAGCTTCAGGGCCTCCTGGTGCCTCTCGCACCCTGGCTGCCCCTCAGGCCCTGGCCCTGCTGGGAGCCGCAGGCGTTTCACCAGCTCCACCAGGTTCCCCAGCTGGCGGTTGGGCCGTAGATGTCTCCGCAGGATGGTCTCTCTGCACTGGGGGCAGGAGAACTTGGGCTCTAACTCCCTCCAGCACCAGCTGAGGCAGGCCCGGCAGAAGTTGTGCCCACAGTCTGTAATCACTGGATCCGTGAAATACTCCAGGCAGATGGGACACGTCACCTCATCCTGGAAGCTCCCAGCCAGGTCCCCAGCAGCCATGGCCCCTCTGCACACAGGCACTGGCCCTGCAGGTTAGTTTCATTCCCCAAATAAAGGAAACAGCACAGCCGGTTCAAGCTGCTTTTTTAGAAAAGGAAATTGCACAACCCGGAGCCAACCACACTCACCAGAGGGAATTTAAAATAAATCTCTCTGAGGAAATCACAGCCCCAGAAAAGCCCCCAGACAAGCACCAAGAGACCTAATGAAAGACCTGGTCTGTTACAGACACCCAGAAGCCAGCGCTGCTTCCCTCGTTATATACGGAGGCAGTCGCTAAAGGACTTTGACCCTCCCAGTCAGCTGGGAGAGACCACTGGTGTGTCCATGTAAATACAGTTTGCTCCTGCTTTGCTTGGTATGTTACCTGATCAGCGGATGGAGGGGGGCTTTGCTCCCTGTCATCAACCTGCCTGGTGTTGGGTCTCAAATCATGTTAACACTAATTGCGGTGTCGGCAATTATTGTGAGACTACAGAAAAGAAAATCCATGCTCAACCTGGCTCAAAAGATGTCACTGCACTGGGGGCAGGGTTGTCCTAGGCCCCGTGCACCCACCCTCTTCCAAGGGACAGCCCTGGCTGTAGGCTCAGCACTGACATAATTAGGTTGATGTGAGTTGTCTTATGTCACCCAAATTCAGCAGTGTGAACCAAGCCCCGAGAACCCACCCTGCAGAGCTCTGTTCCCTGCGCTGCCCCCCTTATGGTCAGGGGGTTACAGCCAGTGCACCCTCTAATTGTTTCCATCTCTGCGTGGAATACATTTTGTTATGTGCATGGAGGAATACACAGATGTGCACCACTAGTATAAAAATATGCTTCCCAGCGGTGGACAACTGTGGGCACTCTGCTCATCAGCTGGGCAGCATTTGAATCTCTCCTGGGGGGCTGCCCAAGCACACAGCTTGCACTGCCAGCCCCCATTACTGTAATTCACCGTTGTCCTGGGCTCCCTGCTGCCCCCATTACTAGCAGGGCCAGGGACCCACCACACCCCATCTAGTGACTGGGGGTGGGTGAAAAATTCCCTTGGACCAAACCCCACTGACTCCCCCCTTTCCCCCTGAAAGGCCAAATTGGATGTAAAACCCCCTTCAGCTGCGTGACTGATAGAAAATCTCCTTGGATTGTCACACTTCCTGTCTCATCCCCAGATACTGGTGAAAAATCCACCCCGGCTGTGGGTTCCCCAGTCTCTGTCTGCAGCCTCCTCTTGTTCTGGGGGGAAACTCTTGCCCTGAGTAATGGCCCAATGCGGGGGAGAGGAGCTAAACCCCCAAAGGACCAACTCCCCCCCGGCTGGGAACAGATCTGTTCCCCCTTTACCGCTTCTTCACCGTTGACTGTGAGGTCACGTCTCCGGTTTGACAATCCAAGGAGATTTTCTATCAGTCTCCAGCACCCAGAGAGAAGGGACGGAGCTGAAGGGGGTTTACATCTAATTTAGATATTCAGCGGGAAAGGGGGGAGTCAGTGGGGTTTGGTTCATATTGGGTTATCAGAGAGAAAAGCGCAAAGTCTAAGGGAATCTTTCACCCACCCCCAGTCACTAGATGGGGTGTGGTGGGTCCCCGGTCCTGTCAGTAATGGGGGCAGCAGGGAGCCCAGGACAACGCTGCATTACTGGGGTGGGGGTGGGGGGGCTGGCAGCGTAAGCTGTGTGCTTGGGCAGCCCCCCGGAGAGATTCAAATGCTGCCCAGCTGATGAGCAGAGTGCCCACAGCTGTCCACCGCTGGGAAGCATATTTTTATACTAGTGGTGCACATTTGTATATTCCTCAATGCACATAACTTTTATTCCACGCAGAGTTGGAAACAATTAGAGGGAGCCCTGGCTGTAACCCTCTGACCATAAGGGGGGCAGGGCAGGGAACAGAGCTATGTAGGGTGGGTTCTGGGGGCTTGGTTCACACTGCTGAATTTGTGTGATATACCACAACTCACATCACCCTAATTATGTCAGTGCTGAGCCTACAGCCAGGGCTGTCCCTTCAAAGAGGGTGGGTGCACGGGGCCCAGGGCAGCCCTGCCCCCAGTGCAGCGATATCTTTTCAGCCAGGTTGAGCACAGACTTTCATTTCTGCATTCCCACAGTAATCACCGACATTGCAATTAGTGTTAATACGATTTGTGATTTAACATCAGGCAGGTTGATGACAATGAGCAAAGCCCCGCTACATCAGCTGAACAGGTAACACACCAAGCAAAGCAGGAGCAAACTGTATTTATTTCCATGGACAGATCCAGGGTCCCTCCTAGCTCACTGGAAGGGTCAAAGTCCTTCAGATCCTGCCTAGGTGAATAAAGAGGAGAGCAGCACTGGCTTCTGGGTGTCTGTAAGTGCCAAGGCCTTTCATTAGGTCGCTGGGTGCTTGTCTGGGGGCTTTCCCGGGGCTGTGACTCCTGTGTTGCTGTTTATTTGAATTTCCCTCCGCTGAGTGTGATTGGCTCTGGGTTGTACAATTTCCTTTACAAAAAAAAAAAAAAAAGCAGCTTGAACAGGCTGTGCTGCTCCCTCTGCTCGGGAAACGAAACTAACTTGCGGGGCTGGTGCCTATGTGCAGAGGAGCCATGGCTGCTGGGGATCTTACCGGGAGCTTCCAGGACGAGGCAATGTGTCCCATCTGCCTGGAGTATTTCACAGACCCGGTGTCTATTGAGTGTGGGCACAACTTCTGCCGGGCCTGCCTCAGTCGGTGCTGGGGGGAGTCGGAGCCCAACTTCTCCTGCCCCCAGTGCAGAGAGACCATCCCACACAGAGACACCCGCGGCCACTACCAGCTGGGGAACCTCATGGAACTGGTGAAACGCCTGCAGCTCCCAGCGGGGCCAGTGCCCGAGGGGCAACCAGAGTGCGAGAGGCACCAGGAGGCCCTGAAGCTCTTCTGCCAAGAGGATCAAGCCCCCATCTGTGTGGTGTGCGACATGCCCATCGAGGAGGCTGCCCAGGAGTACAAGGTAGGGACCAGGCTCTGCAGGGCGGGTTCTGGGGCTTGGCTCACACTGTGGTGTTATGGTGACATGGGCAGCTCACGTCAACCTAATTATATTGGTGCTGACTCTACAGCGAGGGCCGTCCCTAGGTGAGCATGGGGCCTAGAGCAACCCCTCCCCCCAAACCACCCTGTCTCTGCTCCACCCCTCTCCCCAGTCCCAACTCCTGCTCCGCCCCATTGTCCCCTCATGTGAACCAGGTATCACTGCGTGGCCTGAAGAGGGGGGAACAGCAGAGGTCGGCCCCTATCTGAAGTGGCCCAGCAGCCTGCTCTGCCCCACCGCCCTCTCCCAGTCAGCTGGGCCTGGGTCGCTCTGCTTCTTGCTGCCGTGGGAAGCTCAGCACAGCCACCCGGAAGACCATGGTGCCTTGGAGCGGCGCAGGCTGCTCCAGCTTTGCAGGGCGTCCTGCAGGCAAGGGCTGCTTGGACTGTGATACCAGGGCTACCGCAGGCAAGGACGTCCTCAGCATCCCGGCTGGAGCAGCCTCTGTCCCGGGTGGGCCCAGAAACGCAGGGGCCGGGAGCCAGCAGTGAGGTCCCACATAGTCTGGCTATCTGGCAACGCGTTCGGTTACCTGGACGTTTGACAAGTGGGGATTTTGCAACCCTCGCACGGCACGGTGCTGCTCTGGGCGAATGAATCACGGGCTGCAAAGGGGGTTGAGAATGCCAGATTACCACAGGCCACGAGCTATCACAATTACAGGTGTCTGCTCCCCCAGACCCAGGGCTCCCTTGTCCCTCGCCGGCCTCCAGCCACGTCACAGACGCCCTGCCCAGTTAATGAGGCTGCACTGGTGAGAGACCTTTGCTGTGAGGGAGGCCCCATGGGAGCCTGGGGAGAGCAGAGTGTGGATCTGGTTCCTGGCTGAGGTCCAGGTCAGGGGTGCAGAGCAGCGATGTTCCCACCCCAGCTCCTCGCACCCACCGGCTGGAGGGACGTGGCACCTGAGCTAACACACGAGGGTGGAGTTGCCCTGAGTGGCTGAGGGAGGCAGAGCCCCTGCTCGGAGCCGGGCATCTCTGCTCCCATGGAGCCTTTGGGGCTGGCAGAGCCGAGCAGCTGCCTCCTTCCAGGCCAGGTCCCTGCGTGCGTGGAAGGCCGGTGTGTACGGCGCTCGCCGCCCCTCGGACAGGCAGATAACGGCTGTTTGTCTCCCACGATGCCCTGCAGGAGAAACTCCAGGGGGCCCTGGGCCCACTCAGGAAGCAGCTGGAGGAGGCCCAGGCACTGACGTCTAAAGAGGAGAATAAAACCACAGAGTGGCAGGTGGGTGTCTGGATTTCTCTCCCCGAGTCCTTCCCCCGTCAGCGCTCCCAGGGTGAAAGAGTCAGAAAGCTCCAGGACAAGACTATGAACCTGCTCTGGCAGATCAAGGCTAGTTGTGGATGTGTCTGCCCATGGTGCCATCAGCACCCCCACTGCAGCAGGGACACCCCCTGAACGTCCAGAGCCAGGACGGGTCCCAGCCTGTGCTGCCATCATGTGGCCCCCTCATCCCAGTCACCTGCTGCTGCTCCTGTGACCTTCCCTGGCCTTGTCTGTAGCTGGGGCATGAATGTCCGTTCTGGTTCCCCGGCCTGTTACAGCTGAGGGTGAAGGGGTGTGATGAGTACACTGGCTGTTCTCTGAGCACATGGGCATGGGGCACATGGCCAGGCTGGGTGAGGCCAAAGCCGGCCTTGGCAATGCCCTGAGGGCCCAACACCCACATGAGCCCCAGGACGACACCCACAGGGCTATTGGCACCAGCCCTCAATGCTGAACATGCAGCCCTGGGAGCCTCTTGTCAAGAATGAGCATAACCCACACCCTGCTTTGACGGGTCCTTTTGGTGTGGGAGTGCCCAGCCCTGCGCACCCAACTCTCCTTCCCCACGGACACCTTGTGCTGCTCCCCCCTGTCACCGTACATCTCTCCTGTTCCCTCGACTTTGTCCCTCTCCCGTATCCATCCCATGCCACCTGCAATAGCAGACTGCAGCTTTATGTAGCACCCTGGACAACCTCACCATGGGACTGGCCCTGTTTACTCTTAGCTAAAACCAACCCTTTATGAGATAAACAACAAGGAGTCTGGACTCCTAGGTATGTTTGCTGAAGCAGATTGACACAGCTACCTCGCTGAAACTTTCTGGTGCATTTACCAAAGAAGTCACTGTCCTTACAACCTCACTCAGATCTGATTCTCCCTGCTTCACAGACAGAGGCCCAGCCTGTAACTCAACATCTGACTGGTGTTTTCTCTGTGTCTTTCTTATTTTCCTTTCTCCAGAGGAAAGTGCAGGGTTTACTCTTAGCTAAAACCAACCCTTTATGGTATAAACAACAAGGAGTCTGGACTCCTAGATATGTTTTTCTGAAGCAGACTGACACAGCTACCTCGCTGAAACTTTCTGGTGCATTTCCCAAAGAAGTAACTGTCCTTACAACCTCACACAGAGCTGATTCTCCCTGCTTCACAGACAGAGGCCCAGCCTGTAACTCAACATGTGACTGGTGTTTTCTCTGTGTCTTTCTTATTTTCCTTTCTCCAGAGGAAAGTGCAAGCGAAGCGGGAGACGATTGTAGCAGCTGCTTCTGCAGAGGCTGGCGGAGGAGGAGCGGGAGACTCTGCAGAGGCTCCAGGAAAATGTCACCAAACTCTCCCAGCAAAGTGCCTCCCTGCAGCAGCTGATCGCAGAGATGGAGGGGAAGTGTCAGCAGCCAGTTCTCGAGTTGCTGAAGGTGAGATTGCATCGAAACGCGGCCTCCAGCCAGAATTACAGCTCGGATCCATGGGCCTGGATCCCAAGAATGGGAATAAACGTGCTATGTGCGGTGCTCACAGACAATATTGGGCCAAGGGCTCCCTCGGTTCCAAATGGTGCAGTTTGGGTGGGAGGGGAATCATGGAGATCCAGGGAGGCCCTGGGAGATTAAATGTTTGGTACAAAAATGATACTGGGCTAAACCCATCCCTGTGACTCCAGAGCATTGGACTCAACCAGTCACTAAACACGGATACAGGGGCTGGGTCCCTAGGAAGAAGAATCATTTAACTAAATTCCCGTCCGACCTACAAACAATGAATTGAGTGTAAATGCAAAACGACGCAGGAGGTTTTGCCGCAGAACAGTGAATCCTGGGACAGGGTGGGGTGTTCATCTACAATTGCTTCGGCATATGCCCCCGGTGTTCACACAAAGCATCGATTCTCTTTCTCCTTTCAGGACGTGAAAAGCACGTTGAGCAGGTGCATGTCCCGTTTTCACTGCCCTCGTATTCCTGGTGGGGGCCCTGTGGCGATGCCAGTTCAGGGCAGCTGCTGATGCTGGGAAGTTTGCTTCCTAGGAGTGAAAACATGAAACTCCAGGAACCAGAAGCCGTTTGCACCGACCTGCAGCGCGGGTATAAAATTTGTCTTGATCTGAGGGAAGCTCTGAACAGATTTGCAGGTGAGTGGAGCCCCTGGGACATGGAGCTGTTTGGTGTTTGGAGCTGTTTGGTGTCTGGGCAGAGCCTGGGGCGCCCGGACATGCATGGACCCGGCTGGGAGCTGTGCGGTAGCTGGAGGCTGATGGGCTCAGTGCTGGGGTATTTGCCTGCTTCTCACACCCACCTGCTGGCACTTGCCTGCTGCTCACCCTGCCTCCCTGACCGGGTCAATGGGGCCACTGAGCAGGTGCTGGGAGGCCTGGCCTGGGCCCATGTGCTGGGGGCTGCACAGACGGGTCCTGGGGCATGTCTGTCTCTCTCCAGGCACATGGGAGGTGCTGCCTGGGGGTGTAGCTGAACCTGCCGTGTCTGCAGCGCCTGGTGTGAGAGTCTCCAGTGTGGCTGCCCCAGGGTTGGGTGAGGAGAGCCGGGGGGTGGCTGGGGCAGTCACTAGCTGATGTCACCTGCGCCCCTGGGACTCTGAGGGGGGCTCTGTGGCCAGTGCCGGCGCTGGGGGGGGACGCCGGGGCAGCGGCAGAGGGTCTGTGCCGCTCGCAGGAGCCAGGGGACACGTCGCTCTGGGCAGAGAGTTCAGGGTGGAGCCGGGTCTGTGGGCTGAGATCAGGGCTGGGGGGATTTTCCTGGCCAGGGCACATTTCACAGTCGCTCTGGAGTGTCCCAGCTGGTGCCCTGAGCCCAGCCTGCCCGTCACCACACGGGGCTGGGGATGGGGACAGTCCATCCCTGCCAGTCACTGGGGCCTGGGCACCTCAGCTGCTCAGGCAGGTTTGCAGAGGGGCTGGGGAATCGGGTGCTAATAGTTTATTGGCAGAACAATTCGATTTGGGGTCCAGCGAAACTGTTCCCTGCCCCAGGCTGAGTTTGCTGGCGAGTGTCCATGGACAGAGCCAGGTGCCGCCGCTTCCCTTCCAGCCTGTAGCCCAAGGCCTGGGACCCAGCTGGGAGCCCCAGGTCCCATCCCTGTGTGAGGCGGGGCAGGGATGGGAATGTGGGTCCCCCCTCAGGTGGGGGCTGGAACCGCTGGGCTCCGGGGGTCTGATGTGGGGTCCCTCAATCTCTGCTGCTGTAGATGCTCCCCTGTGCCCTTTGGCAGAGTGTGGGGCTGAGACTGGCTCTGCAGCACAGTGGGGCGCCCCCACCTGGGAGCCCAGAGTCCAGCGCCCAGCCCCAGTGACCTGCAGTTACTGACCCATAACTCAGTGAGGGGAGGGGCACGGCTCCAGCACAGCAGTGTCTGAGGCCGTGGGAGCCGGGTTCCCTTGCACCGATGCACCTGCCCCCGTGCAAACCCCAGTGCAGCCACGTGGGTGTGAACTGGGACTAGTCCCCAGGGCAGCTTCTCCAGGTGGAGGAGGCAGGAAGTGGAGAAATGGCTGCACCTCCGTACGAATAAGAATAGGAAGCCTAATCCGAACTACCTACTCCGTGCCGCGTGTAGTCACGGGCACGGAGTCTGAACTACCGGGGATTTAAAAATGGCGGCGCCCAGCAAGATGCAAATGAAGCCCAGGAAATTCAAATCCCGGGCTTCATTTGCAACTTCAGTTGCCTACATTAACCACCCTAGTTCAAACTAGGGTGGTAGTGTAGACATACCCAGGGTATGTCTACACTACAAAGTTAGTTCGAACTAATGGACGTTAGTTCGAACTAACTTTCATAGGCGCTACACTAGCGCTCCCTTAGTTCGAATTTAAATCGAACTAATGGAGCGCTTAGTTCGAACTAGGTAATCCTCATTCCACAAGGATTAAGCCTAGTTCGAACTTACTAGTTTGAATTAAGGGCTGTGCAGCCCCTTAATTCGAACTAGTGGGAGGCTAGCCCTCCCCAGGTTTCCCTGGTGGCCACTCTGGCCAACACCAGGGAAACTCTAT